GCAGGGCATGATTTAAACCCCCACCTCAGGCAGGGGCACGAGGGCAGGTGATCCACCTGAATCACTGGCAGCACTGCTTGCTTGTTGCCATGCCAAGCACAGCTGGCAAACAGGAGGTATTTCTGCAATGTGCTCCCACAGCAGGTGTTGGTGGTGCACAGGGAGGGCAGCACTGACAGCCCCAGGAGCAGCTCCTGGATGGATTTCTTTGGCTGCTTCCCAGCCCAAGCTGCTCCAAGCTGATCCTTGCCCACCTGGGCTGAGCTGAATGGTTCTACTCTTCCCAGATCTAACTTAGCACTGGGTCCTGGCCTCTCTCCTGTGCAGGTCTCCTGGACATCACCTATCAAAAAACTCACTTCACGCACCATTTTTTTTTTAATATAATTTTTTTCTAGATGTTTTTGCAGCACAGGCAACCAGAGGGAGAAATGAAGCAACAAACTGTAATTAAAACCCAGTCCTCCTAATTACCTTCGACAGCTGGTTAATTGCTTTCTCCTCCCACTTTGCTGATGCCTTAAAGGGGAGATTTGGTAGAGTAGAAAGAGTGATTAGGGAGGGGAACAGGGAGATAAGGTTAGGGTGGTGCTACAGCCTGGAGATGGGGGTACTTGAAAGAGCTTGTAGGGCTCTGCAAGGGGAAAAGTGTCTCCTCTGATGAAGTTCTTAATGTGCACTGAAATTTGCCTTTTGTTCCCCTGATGCGTGGCCCTGACTCCAGCAAAGGCAAAGAAAAGACAAAGGAGCACAAGTAGGTTGGCTCTCCATCCTTCTCCTCTTTTGCTTCTAGCTCTTCTAGCTTACTTTGTGTTCCTCACACACGTGGCATGCTCTCCCTTTCCCTAAAGCTGAGAGTGCCAGGTCCAGAGGAGCTCTGGGTTTCTGAGATATCTGGGGCAAGCGGACAGTTTGTGGGTGCAGACTATCAGCACAGGACTGAGGAAACAAGACTTAGCATCAGATTTACAACTCCAATGCCCACAAGCCAGCCTGCTGCATCACCCATACAGGTGCTTCTTCAGCTCCTGCTTGCTTTTACCCCAGATCCTCGTGCTATGCCCACACCAGGCTGTGTTGGAGCATTCTGCAAAGAGCAGCATCCTGCAGCTCTCAGGTGTAACAGATCTGTTGAAACTTAAGCTCCAGTCTCCTGAGAGTGCAGGCTGATACCTGCTGCCCAGAGGCAATCCCTGCCCCAGCATAGGGTGCTCCCAATCAGCATGCTCTCTTCTGGCTCCTATTTATTGCACTGCTGCTTAAAGTCAAGTTTACAGCAACGTCTTGCTGTGTTGGTTGTGCATGGACAGACAGATGCTCTTTACAAGAGTGGAGGCAGCACCCACCTGATGGACATCATTCCTGAAGGGGAATGAACCGTAAAGGCCCTGCTCTCTTTCCTTGCTCTCAACTCCCCAGTAAAAAGCAATGATTAAAGTGTCCTGTTCAGCCATGAATAATTAACCAGCAACCTGCAACTAGATCTTTAACTAGGAGCTGGCCTGGAGAGAGGCTGCTTCCAGCTCCCTGCGCCCTTCAAATCTGCTTGTCCCTGGGTTCTCCCCTCCTGTAAAGCCACACGAGGCAACCCAAAAGGGACAAAGCCATGCTCTTCTGTCAGCTGCAACTGGTGGATCAGCGTTTTGTCATTAATGGGAGGCAATCTGTTTGCTCCGAAACCAGAAAATTCAAGGGAAAAATGTGATGGGTAGGTTCTCTGGTGTCTAATAGAGGGTCAAGCTTTCTTGGAAGCCTGGCCCGGCTTGGGAACAGTGTACAGTCCTTCACCCCCAGCCTTACATGAGCCCTGCTACCAAGCAATGGGCTAGTAGCTTGCACTGCTTTGGAAGGGAGCAGGCAGGTGAGCTGGCATTCTTTAGCAAACCAGGCTAAAACCGGGTTGTGCAGAGGGGGGTTGGTCTGGGTGGCGCTGCACTGCCTGTGTTGGCATCTCAGGTTCACTGCTCCTCATCCAATATTCATATGGGGACGGTGTCAGCTCGCTGCCAGCTCCCCATCCACACTGTAGAGTGGCTGTGGCCGTTTCTCTCCTCATTTTAGCCTGGTGGGAGGAACACGGGGTTGGCACAGCCTTTCTTCAGCACTGAGAAGACCCTGTTGTGCCTGGAGAGGAGGCTTGGTGGGGGCCTCCATCTGTGCTTGGTCCCAACCTGCATATAGGGATGGCTGCACCACCATAGGTGTGCTGCTGGTGGCTCTCCTGTCACCACTGAGCCCTTCTTCTGGAGGAAGCCGGGTCCTGGAAAGCTGACAGGTGAAGGTAGTACCCTGTGGGATGGGGATAGGGAAGGGGGTAGCTGTGGGATGTGTTGTTGCTCACCTGGCTTGGAGAAGGTGACAGATGGGACTTGGGAAGGGAATGGAGCTGATGGGATGGATTATCGGGGCATCTGCCTGCAAAGCATCAAAGCATGGCTTTCTCTTTACTGTTTGTTTGCTCTTTCCCTTCTCTTTGGCACTGCCAAAATTCACAGGAATCCATTTTCATCCACTTCTTCATTTTTCTTTTCTCTCTGTGGCCTCCGAACTGCCACTTCCTCGATATCCCTGGGGCCCTGCTCCTCGGAGATAACACCAGGAAGGGCAGTGATGGGTGAAGGATGCAGGTGGGACAGAGATGAGCAGCAGGGAGATGCGATTGGGGTGTGGGAACAGGGGACACCACCTGAAGCTTTCTCCTCTGAGGGACCTTGCGCTGTCTGAGCTCTCCTCACTGTGCCCACCAGAGCCAAGTCTCGTCTTGTGAATGAGCTGGAGGCTGTCAGGATGTAGATTTCCCATCTCTGGGGCCTCTGGTGCAGTTAAGCTGCTTTTGGGGATAGGTGAGAGACTGCTGTGGCTTATCTCCTCAGCACATTCACTATGGCTCAGCTGGCAGTGAGGGGTCACTGACTGCAACGCACATCCCTGCAGAAGGGGCTGGGCTGGGCTGGTCCTGCTGGGATGGCTGCTTAGTCCCAGTCTTAAATTATCATCAGTTCATCAAGGTTGGAAAAGATCTCCAAGATCAAGTCTTCATCAACCCAACCTACCAATTCTAACACTAGAAGGAGGCATCCCTGCATATAGCAGGGGGGTTGGAGCTGGATGACCTTACGGGTCCCTTCTAACCTAAATCATTCTATGATCACTAAACTATGTCTCACAGTGCCATCTCTACATGTCGTCTTCTACATAGCCCCAGACCACCCTCATCATTCCCACATCAGACGCTGTGCTATCCAGGACCCAATACATCCTTGGTATCTTTGCAATGAGCTTGCTGTTTTGGGTCCTGATGAGACACAAGCAATGCTGGAGTCTTCCCAGCAGGTTCCTATCCCATCCCCAACCCATCACCAACTGCTCTTCTGCTTTGTTTTACTGTTCAAGGAAATAGTGAGGCCCTGGCATAGGCAGCCCAGGGAGCTGTGAGTGCCCCATCCCTGGCAGTACCCAAGGCCATGGATGGAGCCCTGTGCTGGTGGGAGGTGTCCTTATGGCAGAGGTTGGGGCTGGGCTGGTTGTAAGGTTCTTTCCAGTACAGTTATTCCAGGGTTACAAATTCTACTCTTTGTCCTTCTTCCTGCCTATTGAGAAACTGCCCCTCTCCATGGATCCCATGAAGGAATCACAGCTACAAGAGGCTTGAGTCCTGAGCATTGCTTTAATTCCATTTAAACCTCAGCTGTAAATAGTTCCTTTATCTTATGCTGGCCTTCTGCCCTAGTTGAATACCACCTCCCCCCTTGGTGAATACATTATTCTCCTATTCCCCTTAATTTTCTTCTTGCTTGTTCTGCCTCTGTCTGCAGCCTGCAAGCATCCAGCTGTTATTTATACGCATCAGATGGGCTCCAATGCCAGGACTTCTTCCCCCCAAAAGATACAATTTTGTCTTTTGGCCTCAGGAAGAGGGGAATAACAGCTGAGATGGGGAGATCCCCAAATTCTGGTGCTATTTCCCAGCACGTGGGGAGCACAGCTGGATCCTGCTTGGGAGTGAGGTCCTTCCTGCTTCCGACCTGAACACATGCATCAAACCTGCCATATTTTTGCAAACATCAACACTTTCAGCACATGGGAATTTTCCAACAAGAACAAAAAAATCCCCATCATCTTTATCACCTTTTGCTTTTGGGACAGTCCCTCAGAGCATTTCCTTCAAGTACTTCTCTGGCCCTTTGCTCTTTAATTTAGAAGGGAGTTATTGCGTGGTTTGACTTCTTCTTGGTTTCAGTTTTACAGATACTGTGTTGGGTTTTTTTTCCTACCAGCACTCTCAGCTGAATCTTGAAGCTAGAAATCATCCTGCTTGCATCCAGTGCTGATAGCTTTCACCAAACATCCTGCCTCTTTGCAACAGCAGCATGGACTTGCATCCAAATACCAATGAACTGTCTCCCCCAAAAATATCTGCAATGTTGTTATTGCCCATAGCTATCACTGTTAGATGTGTATTAGGGAGCAAGCCACTCTGCAGTGCAGAAATGCCATCATTTACTGAGCACTGTCTTTTATGGGCAGTTGGTATCACCCTGCAGTTCTGTGCTGTACACGGGTTAGGGCATTCCTCTGCAATCTGGTGCTGTAACAGAGCAAACCAAAAGCTAGGTGCTGAGCTCATCTATGTTGTCCTGATCCATGAGGCTGTGGTGTAACAAACACCAAGTACATTTTTTAGTACAAAGATGGCTTTAGGGAAGTGCCCTAAGGAGCAACCTCACAATGGGGAGCAGCAGGAGTGAGCAGAGAAAGGAGGCATGGGGCAGGTGGAAGAGTTTGCTGGCTGCTGATGCTGTGCTCCAACTGTGTTTTATCCAGCTCGGGGATCAATACTGAGGAAATACAAGGCCTTTGTTTGCTGTTTTCTCTGTTGGTCTTTCAGCTGATATTTCCTCTATTGCTTCCAGCTGTGGAGGGCTCCTCTTGTCCTCACACCCAACAACAGCACCGAAAACACAGGATTCAATGTTTGGTCTTTTTTTTTCCTCTTACAGAGCTGGGAAAGGAGTTTTTTCAGCCATGAAGCTTGGCAAGGCACGTCCCACAAAAGATGACCATCGGAAGCAAGGTGGGTGCTGGGAGAAGGCTGTTCCTTCATAGAATCATAGGATGACCTGGGTTGAAAAGGACCACAATGCTCATCCAGTTCCAACCCCCTGCTGTGTGCAGGTCGCCAACCAGCAGACCAGGCTGCCCAGAGCCACATCCAGCCTGGCCTTGAATGCCTGCAGGGATGGGGCATCCACAGCCTCCTTGGGCAACCTGTTCCAATGGATTCCAATCCTTCCTCCAGTGCTGCTTTTCCACTACCTCTCAGGAAATAATCTGAGAGACCCTATGAGGGGCTCGTGTGGGCACAGCCAGCCCACAATCCAGGGACTGGAGAGAGAATGTTTGGTGCACAAGATAAGAGCTGGAGAGAAAGTCTCCATGGGGGAAATGGGAAGAGGAATTGATGCAGAGAGTCTCCCACCACATGCAGCTGTGGCAGAAGCCCTGCAGGTCCAGCAGGCAGCCTCCAGCTTATTTTTAGGGATTACTTGCAAATGTAACAACACAAAGCATGATTTCACCCTCGGTGCATGCAGTGTGAAAGGGCTGAGCTGCTATGAGGCTGTCCATCCCACGCTGAAATTGGATGCCTTTCTGGAAATGCACAGAGCATCAGCGATCGGAAATTCATTGCTGTTTCCATTCAGAACAAAGTATTGGGTTTCGATGGCAAAGAATCAGGAGAATGCCTTTTTGTGGCAAAGGATGAAATGTCATTTTAGATGCTGTTGCTGGGCGACTTCCCTGCACCCACTGGCAGCTGATATTCACGCAACAGTAGCTTCTTCCCTAGCTATCCATGTGTTTCTTGCATGCTTTGCCAGGGCTCTGCTCACCTCGCACCATCTCTTTGGGGATTGGATTGGATGATCTCTGGATGTCCCTTCCAGTCTCTGTGATCCCATGATTTCCTCTCTCAGACCCTTGCTACCTGGTGATGGAACAGGGTTGGATGCGTTGCATCCTTTGGTTATACAGCAATACATGTTGCAACCTACACTGAATCTCATCCCACTGAACCACATGCTTCAGTGCTCACTGAGCTTCCCAATGGCCAAGCATAGGTGTGCAGTCTCAGAACAAGCTGTGTGATAACAGAAACCTTTCCCAGAGTGCCCAGGACCTGAACCCAGCGTTCTTTCTGTGCCACTGTCTGCTTTCCTTTTGCTGCCCCACACAAGGGTGCTGGTCCTGCTCACATCCAACAGACAGAACAAGTCATCAAAACCCAAGCAAGAAGGATGTTCTTCTGGCCACCCAATTGCATGCGGGAGGACAGAATCTGCTGGGGTCCTTCCTGGGTGTTCTAGTTTTGATTTAATCCTCAAAACTTCCAGTGAGGGTAAGAAAACCCTTTCCCCACACAGTGTCTCTCTATCCTGATGGAGAGACACCCGGACTCAATGTCCTTCACTTCAGCAGATCCCATGGTTATTTCCATTTTAACTCATAAAAGCAGGCCACAGAAAATTGATTTCTACTCTCCCAGAGCACACCAAGCTGAGAGCTTGCCTAGTCTGGTAAAGAGATGGGAAACCAAAAGCAGCCCCTGTGCTATTGAAGTGGATTTGGAGCTGCCTCTTGGTTCCAACAAGTAATGACCCAGCAGCTAGACCAGAGCTTCTGACCCAAAGACAAACTATCACTGCTTCACTCGTTGCTTCCAAAGCTGTGACCAGAGCAAAAGCAGGAGGGGCAGGAGCTGTGTGCACGTGGCTTTTACACAAGGCAGCACAATATCTCAGCAACTTCTTTTAACAGAAATGCAGAGCTGGTGATGGGTGACTCGGTCCTGCCTGTCAGTGCCTGTGGGTTTGAGGTCTTGCCCTTCCCTGCAGCTATTTTCCACCTTGGGAAATGACCCCTTTCTCCTGTTCTCTCATACCCATCTGCCCCAGAGCTACATGGTTTGTTGTGTTTGCAATTGCAGCTAAAGCAGCGGCTTGCTCAAATGCTATTTCACGCTTTGAAGTCTGGCTTGTTTCTCATTTTTCAGTTTTCCAAAGCTTCACAAAACCACACGTTGCCTGGACGGAATAACATGTCACATGAAGCAAACCTATTTTTAATCCCTTTCAGACCAGGCTGTCTGTGAGCTGACCTGGTGACCATTGTTCTTTGTATTATCGGGTGAGGTTGATAGGACGTATTGGTTACCTTTCCCTGCACCTTTAATTATTCACCAAGTGGAAACAATGAGAGACATTCCTTTGTCTCTGTGTGTTTATGCAGATGAACCTGCTGTTCTGGAGGCAGAAGACCTGGACCGAAAAGTCATGAGACTTGGAGGGGGGCTGGACCCAGACACCATCTCCTTGGCCTCTGTCACAGCTGTCACCACCAATGTCTCAAACAAGAGGTGAGGGTTGTGTAAGCCAGGAGGTGAGGGCACACTTTGCATTCCAATCCATTCCAAGGGATGAGAGGTACTGGAAATCCTGTTCAGTGTTTTTGGGAAATATCCAACCTGCCACAAAGAGCACTAATGTTCAGCAATAGCTTGCAGCCTCTGGTGTTAAATTCTTCAGACTCAAAGAGAGGAGGGGCTGCCATTGCTCTGTCATGGTTTGCAGTGAGTTGACTTATTGTTTGACTGAGGGTTTCTTCTGCCCCTCCAAAGGTCCAAACCTGACATCAAAATGGAGCCAAGTGCTGGGAGGCCGATGGATTACCAGGTGGGTGATGATGCTGTGTCTCCAACCTCAGCTCACAGAGGGGAGGACGTTTTGCAGGTGTTATGGTCAGCAGCATTGTTACTTGAGGAGCTGAACCTCCTCATTCCAACATGCATCCCCATCTGCCCAGGGAACAGCTCTGGGATCAGGAGGAAGGACTGGAGACACTTGAGCACCTCTGGGCTTGCTGGTGCCAGCGTGATCCATAAATTGGTTTCTCTTCTCATTTTCACCAAGCTGTGCTGATTCAGCAGCATTTTGGCTTTCTGCAACAGCTACATGTCCATGGGGATTTCTTTGAACGATGCAAACAAAGATTTTTGTGATAGATTTATTGCAGAACATTTGCAGCATCCACTTTGCAGCCCCAAGTGAAATCAAACAGGAGAAGCAGTGACAGAAGAGAGTGGAAGAGGTATAATTATGTGTTTAATGAACAGAGAGAGAAGAGTGAGACACACTGGGAGCAAGTGTGCTGGGTTCAGGAGTGATGTAACCAGAACATAAAGAGGAAGGGAAAGATGCCAAGCAAATTTCAACTGCAAGAACATAAGGACCAAATTAGTTGCCCACTGTGAACAAGAGGATTACATGGGTGGTTTTAATGGGGGAAGGTGAATCTCTCATTTGTGATCAAAGTACTTACCTGGATAACCTCCAGAGGGGCTCAAGGTGTTTCTAAACGCTGTGATGCCCTGTATGTGAGCAGTGAAGATGTGCTGGGTTGGTTTGGCTGCCGCACCATTGGGCATGGGATCTCTCCACAGGTCAGCATCACTGTCATTGAGGCCCGGCAGCTGGTTGGGCTCAACATGGACCCCGTGGTCTGTGTGGAGGTTGGGGAGGAGAAGAAGTATACATCCATGAAGGAATCGACTAACTGCCCTTACTACAACGAGGTCGGTCTGTTCTCCAGCAATGGTCATCGCTCCCACTCCCCTAGTGCTACATTGCCATTAGTTAAATGGGATTTCTTGTCACCTAGGTTTATTCTGCATCAGGGGAGGGTCAGGTAGAGGTTAGAGAAAGAGGGCAGTGGGCTTGACCCTAAGCTCAAGGAGCTCAGGGATCACTGTAACACCATTCTCAGACATAGATTTTGGGTTTGGGTGATGCCATGAGGAGCTAGGGGTGTAATCAGTGCTCCTTGGGAGTCTTCCAGTACTGGATAGTCTATGGTTCTGTAACACTGTTTTTTAACCCAAAAGGAGCTGCTCTCCTGCCTTCACACCTGTTCTTTCCCTTTCAGTACTTTGTCTTCGATTTCCATGTGCCCCCAGATGTCATGTTCGATAAGATCATCAAGCTGTCTGTAAGTGAGCATGCTGGCATTGCCCTTTTCTCTGAGCTTTGGAAGAGTCCATTTTGCTCATGCACTGTGGGTGGATTTGAGGTCCCTGACAGGAGCAGAACTGTCTGGCCCTACAAGCCCCATCACTTTTGCAGATCTCTGGTCCCCCTCTATCACTGCCCTCATTGCTAGGGCCACCCAACTGTGCTTGCCATCCCCTCCAGAGCCGATGACTGCTGTGTCAGAGCCTCAGCCTGTCTTCCTGTGTGTTTTGGCTTTTGTGGAAGCAAGACCCTCCGAGAGCATGAAACTGGGCAGAGCTATTGCTGAAATACAGTTCTTAAGACCAAAACAGCCTTTCCAGAGTCACAGAGGGCAGTGAGCAAGGAGATTCGTAGAGTCACCAACCAAACCACACTAATTAGGAGCCTGAACATCTATCCCATGAACAGACTGGCTTTGCAATTTCTCTCACAGAGGGAATTAGAGCATAGATTTCAATCATCCTAAAGACACTTCCTTCAAGTGAACGTCCCAGTGTTTGTTGCTACGGTGGCTGCAAACTGTATCATGTTTCAAAGATGAATTTGTTTGCATTGCTCTCATTCAATCCAAATCCCTGCTTGTGAGAGTGCTAAGCAAGAGCTGCCAATCTGGCTGTGCCTCACAGAGTCTCCATATGTACCGTGAGGTCCTGTAAAGACCAAGGAGAACACATCAGCTCCCTTCCTGTCTGACACTGAACTCTTCTGAAAAGAGTCCTGGGACCCCCATGGCACAAACATTTGACTTTTCTCCCCCTCTCGATTTCCAGGTGATCCACTCAAAAAACCTCCTGCGCAGTGGGACTTTGGTGGGCTCCTTCAAGATGGACGTTGGGACAGTTTACACCCAGCCTGGTGCGTAACCACAGTTAGCCAACATGCCTACCTGCACCACTGAGAAATGTCTTTGCAAGGGATCCTGCAGGCACTTCTTTCCTCAGGTGATGGTAATTTACTTTAATTAGAATCCAAGATGTATGTAAGTCACCCTCGATCCTCCAGAAAAGATGGCATACCCCATCTGAAATAAGGCACAAGAGGCAAGCTGAGATGCCCCCTGGCTGTGCCACCTCTCCACTGCCCTACTGAAGATGTCCAGGCTATTTAAGTAAGCAAGACACTGCCCTTCCAGATTTCATAGAACTGTAGAATCACCTGAGTTGGAAGGACCATTAAAGATCACCTAGCCCAACTCCTCTGCAATGAACAGGGGCACCTACAGCTCCATCAGGTGCTCAGAGCCCTGTTCAGCCTGGAATGGATCTTGCCCTGTGTAGCTGGCATTTGAACCAATAGAGAGAGATGGCACATGTGCAATGAAAAAGAGAAAGAGGTTGATTAGAGCTGCTGCCATGTTGCTGGCTGATGGTAAAGCCCTCAGTGACTTCTCACAGATGGGCCCTATGAGTGCTCATAAAATCTGTTGTGCAGTTATGGGCTTCGTTTATAGCACATCTGTTTCAGGAAACCTGTTTTATAAAATTGTAAAAAAGCAGTGAATGCCTTTGGCATCCTGTCCTCAAGTGAGGGCAGTGAAAGCTGGTGTGGATGGGATTCATTTAAAGAATTGTGTGAAAGAAGTCCAAAGGAGTCCCTGGAGAGCTCATTTAGTCCATGCCTTCACTGATTCCTGCCAGATTCCCCAGTATACTTCTGCATGAAAAGACCAGTCCCTGAATTCAGGAATCATACTGGTCCTAGCTGTGGGACAGATAAAGCAAATACACATCCAGGAGACCTGTAAAAAGCTCATTCTGCATGGAAATAGCATTGCCTCTTTGATGGCCCAGTGCTTGAAGTATGGCAGAGCTGAGCACATGACCATACCTGCAGAAAAGATACCTCCAAAATCTCCAAAATCACTGTCTTTGTCTTTCATTTCAATATTCCATATTAAATTATATTCCAATATTCTGTACTCTGTATTTCTTTCAATAAATGACAGTCTTGTCCTCTGGCTTCCAGAGCACCAGTTCTACCACAAATGGGCTATCCTTTCTGACCCCGAGGATCTCACTGCTGGGCTGAAAGGTTACCTGAAGTGTGACATCGCTGTGGTGGGGAAAGGGGACAATATCAAGACACCCCACAAAGCCAACGAGACAGAGGAAGATGATATTGAAGGGTATGGAAGGAAAAAACAAGGGAGTGTAAAACCTCATTCTAGCCCTAAATGCTTTGGGCTAATTAAATATCTCCTTGTACAACCACAGGCTTTCAAATCCATTTCTCAGCCACTCACCACAATCTCAGACTTGTGGCAAAATGCTAGTGTCCCTTTCTTGACTTGCTGCAGCTCAGGGGTTTGAAGCACTGCCTGAACTGTTTTAGGTGTTGTTCTGTGCTGTAGTCATATTTGGCCACTTTGTCTTGGACAAATCTAGCAACTCCTCCAGAGATTTTGTTCGCATCATACCCCGTGGCTCTCATTTCTTCTCCCAGAAGAGGAAAGCAAATTCTTCCAATAAAAGCCATTTGGTGGAGTTTGATTCTCACCCCAAAACACACCCCTTCTATCACAACAAAGAAAAAGGCTCTTTGTACATCCCACTTGGCAGGTTGGCTTTAGATGTCTAAATTAAGCTGAGTTTAATTGCCCTTTTTATCTTCTTTCCATCTTCCCACAGCCTGCTCAGGAAGCAAGCTAACTTCACTCACCCTCTTCAGCAAGGCTCTCTGCCAGCCCCAGCAGCTGTTTACAACCCTATTTCTTTGCTGCTGTTGCAGGAACCTCCTCCTACCAGATGGGGTTCCTCCAGAGAGGCAGTGGGCTCGTTTCTACATCAAGATCTATCGAGCAGAGGGCCTGCCTCGTATGAACACCAGCATCATGGCCAATGTGAAGAAGGCTCTCATTGGAGAGAACAAGGACTTGGTAGACCCCTATGTGCAAGTGGCATTTGCAGGGCAGAAGGTGGGTGAGCACCAAGGTGGTCTTGGGAGGTAATGTGAGCAGGACCAGCCATTGTGCTGGTGTCTGGAGACAACCTCATTTGTCCTTGCATGATAATGCTGAGATGCACGGCAAAATCACATTGTTTGCTGCATGTCATGTTCCCCCTTCTTGTGCAGCCTATGATGGGTTTGCAGCCATCTCCAGTAGAGGAAAAGAGCTAGTTCCTTGGGAGAGGAGGAAGATGAAATGACCCTCATGTGGTCATTAACATGGGAGGAGTGCAGGACGTGTCCTGGTTTTGACTGAAATAGAGTTAATTTTCTCCATAATGGTTGCTATGATGCTTGTGACCTCCAACAACCACAGAGATATCAAATACCTTCCTTGTCCCACTCTGCAGGGGAAGACATCAGTGCAAAAAAGCAGCTATGAGCCTCTCTGGAATGAGCAAATCATCTTCACAGAAATGTTCCCCCCATTGTGCAAGCGGATAAAGATCCAGATCCGAGACTCAGACAAAGTCAATGATGTGGCCATTGGTACCCATTTCATTGATTTGAGGAAGATCTCTAATGAAGGAGACAAAGGTAAAGCTGAAGTGGGGTTGGGACCTTCTTCACAGTAGAGAGGTATCCCTTGGGCAGAGATAACAAAATAGCTCAGGCTCTCTTCCCAGTCCTGGAGGTAGCTTCTTCTTGGTTGGAGTGACCAAGACTCACTGCAGTGCCCTTCTGAAGTCACTGGACAAGAGAGCCTTGAAAATCAAAACCCAATCACAAGCCTTCAGGCCAACACTTGAAGGCAAAGACATTAAAAAACAGTTCCAAGACACCTGTTGCCATGGACGGATGAATATCTGGCAGGCTTCCACTTTCACGCATAAATGAACATGTGAGCACACATAGGCAGGAGCATCATGAAACCAAAGATGGCTCTTTGAAAAAGAACTAGTGGGGAGTTCTTTCTTCTTTCTTGACTCTCATATTAGGAGACATGCCCAATGGGAGACTCACCTCTTTAGACTGATGCACTGCAAAGTACCCATCACTGCCTTCACTGCAAAACTGTTTTCATATGTAATTGCAAAAATGCGTCTCCATGCACACAAGTGCACATTCAAGTCCATGTCACCATTCACAGCAGGAAAGTGATGATCCCAAGACAAAGATGTGCCCTTCTTCTTGCATACCCCCTTCTCCACCAGCATATCTGTTCTCCTGCAGGCTATCTGCCCACCTTTGGCCCTGCATGGGTGAACATGTATGGCTCCACTCGGAACTACACCCTGATGGATGAACACCAAGAGCTGAACGAGGGACTGGGGGAAGGCGTCTCCTTCCGGGCCAGGCTTCTGATGAGCCTTGCTGTTGAGATATTGGATACCACCAACCCAGAGATCAACAGCTCCACTGAGGTGCAAGTGGAGCAGGCCACACCAGTTGCTGACGTGAGTCTCCCCTGACCCTACTGCTGGCAATGAAGAGTTCTGGATCTCAGACCCCTTGGCTGGTTATCTCTGGTCTCACAGATAGGATTTCACTTAGTGTTATGCTAAATGTTCTGCTGTCTTTGCTCTGTGTACACAGATACATCAGTTCTTGTCCTATATAGGGATGCCCACATGTCAGTCTGTATGAGCCAGAGGTGAGAAGTAGAAATGGAGCTCATGTTCTGTGTGAAAGCTCCCCTTTGGGAATGGAAAAGCGAAAAGTGCTCTCATCTCACCTCTAGAGGAAATTAAGCCACCTGGAAGTAAAGCCATTCGATTTCTGAAAGTGCATCCAAACAAAGGGTTCACCAAGGTTTGATTATCTCAGTCTGTGAGCAAGCTTGAGCTCATATCCCTGAGTGTCCTTTAGACAGTCTGCCACGAGCAAGGGATGGCCAATCTCAGTTAAACCACCACATTCAAACATCAGGCTAAAACCTCTGGTCAAACTCTCTCTGCAGAGATCCTAGAGACCCAGTTCATGCAAACATCTGCTCCTCATATGGGTCAGGCTGAAGGACACAAAATTCCATGGTATCCTTAAGACCCAAGCAGAGCTCATGAGAGTGCTCAGATGGACCAGATAATGGTCCATCCTTCGCCCAGGGCTCAGTGTCCCTCTGGCTGACCCAAACTATGATCTCTGGGATTTATCCTGCAGAACTGCACTGGAAAGATGGAGGAATTCTTTCTTTTTGGAGCCTTCCTGGAAGCTACCATGATCGACAGGAAGATTGGTGACAAACCCATCAACTTTGAGGTTACAATAGGTTGGTTGTTTTCTGGGTGAGGGTGGTTTTGAAGCACACCTCGTGGGGAATGAGGGATCCAAGGGCAAGAGCAAGGTTTCTTCCCCCTTTTTCCATGCAATTGTGTGCCAGAGCACATGCTTCTGAAACTGGCCACAAGGGGATGGCATGCATTCCTTCTGGTTTGAAAAGGGACCTGAGCAGAGTGTAAACATCCATCACTAATATGTGGTTTCTGGGCAAAGGTTCACAGAGTTGAACTCAACTGCCCTGTGGAGAAAATATCTTCCCAACTTGAATGCAAGGCAGGTGACAGAGCCCACTTAGCCCCCATGGGAGTTACACTCCTGTGACTTCATTTCATTTTTCATTCTTGAGGCAACTATGGGAACCAGATTGATGGCGTGACCAAACCTGTCCTGCGGAGGAAGAAGGAGGGTGGGGATGGGGACGAGGAGGAGTCCGAGCTGCTGCACAACTCCAGTGAGGATGAAGCTGATGAGGATGGAGAGATGGTCTCTGTCTCCTCATCTCAGCCCATGAAGCCCCTGGTTACAGACAGGTAAGTCTTGAATTCACCTCTCACCCATGTGACCAGCTGTACACCCAACACTTGGCTATCCAGCACCATCAATGCTCTAACCCTACGGTTGCTGCAACAAGCTGCCATCTAGCTTTAAAGATCACCTGGATCTTTAAAGTTAGATGAGGTTATGGACACCCAGAGAGGAAGGGAGAATAAAACAAAAATTGCAGGAACAAGTTACTGAGAATGAGTTAGGCAGGAGACTGGGATAAAAGACAAAATCCCCTCGGTCTTTCTAGCCTTCAGCATCTCTCTTCAGCTCAGTCTGTCTACAGTTATTAGTCAGAAAGCCCAAAACTGAGTGGGATTAGCACACGTCTTTGTGTGCCCAGGCTGGAAACAGACCAGGCTTGCATACAAGGGACTCATATTCAGGAAAGCTAATTGGATATAACCTAATGAGATGTACTTAAACTGGATTATTTTAATGATGTTTTACCAGTAGATACGTGCTAGCTATCAGAATTAATTGGCTAAGTTAATTCAATTGGGAAACAAAACAAACGACATTGAACTAAGGCTATTTGTGCTTTGGATGAAGTCCGCATGAGATTCCCTCTTTTGTTCACCAACTCCTTGGGAAGGTGAATGCTGCAAGGAGAGGAGCAGCACCACACATCCGTGAGTCCATCTCTCTAGGCTCCATCTTCCCCTAGGTGAAAGCCCGAGTTGTTGGGAGCCTCACACTCAGCCATGGGGCAGTGCTGACATATTCTGTCTGGAAATGTCACTGATGGCTTTAGCAGATGCTTGAGGTTCCATGATGAGCCCATGCCAATGCGCTAGCCCCAACAAATCCAGTGCAGGGAAGTGTGCTGGTGGAGATGCAGCCTCTCTCTTTGAAGATGTAGTGTAGATCAGTTTGGCCTCCCAAGTCCTCCATCCCTGTCACAGCTCTGCCTCCCAGAAAGAGACAGGGGGCAGGGGTTATCCTTGGCCATCAGTATGACCACCATGGAGCATCTCATCTGCCTCCTCTTGCAGGAACTACTTCCACCTGCCGTACTTTGAGAAGAAGCCCTGCATCTACATCAAGAGCTGGTGGCAGGATCAGCGCCGCAGGCTGTATAACGCCAACATCATGGACAAGATTGCAGACAAGCTGGTCAGTACGTGTTGGGGAAGGAGGGAGTTGGGGCATGGAGTTAGCCATGGGGCACATCCAGGCTCCCTGAGCATCTCTGCAGTTTGCCACAAAGCAGGGACAAATCATGGTAGGGATCCACTAGACAGCTTGTGCAGAAAGGGAAAAGTTCCCTGGTATGAAGTGCTCCACATTTTGAACACTTCCAAACTCCAGGAGCTCACTGTATTTTCTCAATTAGACCCAGGGATTCTCATAAAGAGCAGAAGAGCAGGAAGGCTTCCCCTCCACAGACTGCAGGAGGGATGCCACTTCACTGGCAGAGCCTCATTAGTCATCTCAGCTAATTCCTGAGGAGCCTCTATGTCAAACTCCAAATTGGTGAGGTCAAAGCAGGCATCCAGTTACGGAATCTTAGAATGGATTGGGTTGGAAGAAACCTTAAAGCCCACCCAGTTTCAGTCCCTGCTGTGGGTAGGGACACCTCCTACCAGATCAGGCTTTCTAGGGCTCCATCCAGCCTGGCCCTGAGCATCTTCAGGGATGGAGCACCCACAGCTTCTTTGGCAGCCTGTACCAGGGCCTCACCACCCTCATCATAACGGATTTCTTCCTAATACCTACTCTAAATCTACTCTCTTGGTTTAATGCCATTACTCCTTGTCCTGTCACTACACCCCCTGACTAGAGCAAGGAGTAGAGCAGAGGAGTCCAAGTAGGATCAGTAAAGAGAAAACCTAGCAGATCCAACCAGAACGATGCGGGAGCTGTTCCCATCATCCAAAGCTGCCTCCAACAGCCAAATCTGTCCCAGACCCAAGACCTGAAGTCATCACATGTGAAATAGGAAATAGATGCTCCCACTAGCAGCCCCCTATGGGGTTGCTCCCTGTAGGAATGGACCTCGCCCCCACTGCCCCCCTCACCACTTCCCCTATCCCTGCTGCAGGAGGAAGGGCTCAATGATGTACAGGAAATGATCAAGACAGAGAAACCTCATCCAGAGCGCCGGCTCCGAGGGGTCCTGGAGGAGCTGAGCAGCGGGTGCTTGTGAGTAAAAGCTGGGCAAATGTGCTGCACTGCAAACCCCTGCTTTCTGTGTGGTTATGGGCAAGGTTGTGGAAGTGAGGTGGTGATCTCATCACGACTTATCCTCTGGAGGATAGGCAAGTATTTCATTGCATTGACACAGCACCATATAGGTTGCCTTTTGGCTTGGAGTGGTGCTTATGTCTGCACACCAACAATCCCAAAACAGCAAGAGAAGCCTCAATATTGTGGCCTCTGTGTGCTGGTACCTGAATGACACCTACTCTCCATGTACAACACCACACTGCGAGCCAAAAAGCCGCCTGGAGATGATTGCATTCCAAATGTGGACCAAAGACATTCATGCTTCCCTTCCCACAGGCGCTTTGTGACGCTGGCTGACAAGGACCAGCACCACTCTTCTCGCACGAGGTTGGACCGGGAGAGGCTCAAGTCCTGCATGCGGGAGCTGGTGAGTGTGATTCAGCTGGGAAGGTCTGAGACTAATTCTGACCTTGATAAAGCAATGGGGAATTTGCTCTTTGGGCATGCTGGTTTCCAGTCTCCATGCATTGAGGGTTTGGGGTTTACTGCTGAATAGAGGAGCCCAAGAGCTCTTGAGTCTTGCATGGATCCCAGGGGCACTTGGGGATACACGACTGTCTCTCTTTCACCATGCTCTGCTTTGCCTTGGGAAGGAATCCAGGAGTGCTGGCAAAGAGCCCCACTGGTGTCAGAGACAGCTGAGGAAACCGGGGAGGAGGATTTTGGGGGGAACCCTGCAGAGCACAGCTGGTAGAAGAGACATACAAAGACCAGCTTATCCAGCTGAGACAGCCAAGGGCACCAGCTTCCATAGACAACTACAAAACCATGTGTTTAATGTGTGAGAGCCTTCATGGCCCCTATTCTGAACAGTCTTGGACTCCCCTTTCACTGCAGGAGAATATGGGCCAGCAAGCCACGACTCTGCGGTCGCAGGTGAAGAAGAACACCATGAAAGACAAGCTGAAGCAGGTGCAGAACTTCCTGCAGAAACTCCGTTTCTTGGCAGACGAGGTGTGTTCCCCTGCATGGAGAGAGCAACAGGGCACTGACGCAGCAGCTAGGGCCCAAGAGGAGCAATCTCTGTAATGAGGTCCTCATGGCATAGGTCTTGTCCAAGGAGCCTCTCCAAGTCTATACACTGCCCCCATGGAGCACTGCTGGACTGGAATGGATCAGTGCTAAAACTCTTCCTCTCAACCTCTTTCATAGTGGGGAACTGAGACATGGTCTCTGCCCGTGAGCCCTCATGGTCACTGAGTAATGAGGAAAGATATATCTTTAGTCTTCTAACCCCCAAAGTTATTATTTGGATTAAAACAAACATAAATCCCAGTTCTTTTCTAGCTAAGCTTCATGCTGCTGAGCTTAGGTCTCAGCAGCTTTGCTTAAGCAGACAAGGTTCTGCAGCGGGAGGCTCAAAATCATTCCAATGGTCATAACGTGGCACTAGGGGCATCCATCTGCTGTGGGATCTGCTGAATTTACCCTACAAAGCTCTGCAGCCCTGCCAGTGCCTCAGTGGTTCACAAAGAGCTGAGGGCTTGACAGGTCTCTTTGGTTTTGTTCACAGCCCCAGCACACCATCCCCGACATCTTCGTCTGGATGATGAGCAATAACAAGCGCATTGCCTATGCCCGTGTCCCTTCCAAGGACATCCTCTACTCCATTGTGGATGAGGAGATGGGCAAGGATTGCGCCAAAGTGAAGACCGTCTTCCTCAAGGTGTGCACCTGTCTTCCCAGGGGGAAATGCAGCCAAGAGGAGGGGGATGGAGAAGAGACAGACCGGGAGAGTGGGAGATAGAGATGAGAGAACTGCGGGTCCAATTTTGCTGGTGCTTGAATAGTAGGCACAAAAGATCCACTACTGGTAGTGATAGAAACCTGCTGCTAGCGTCTGGAAGAGGAATGATGTTTGGTCCAGCTAGCCAGAGGAGGGAAATTTGGCTTGGAAAGAGTTGTAGGAAGAACATAACGCATGAACAGAGTAGTGGGCATGATCTGGAAAAAATGAGGATGGGTCCTTGTGTTTAAGTGACAGGGGTGCAAGCAATGTAGTGCAGTGAAGTGTGGTGTGAGGTGGTCTGTCCTTCTCCAAGACCTCCCTTATCAACTTGTGAACTTCACTGTTCTTTATGCTCAGCTGCCTGGGAAGAGGGGTTTTGGGCCTGCTGGCTGGACAGTTCAGGCCAAGATGGAGATTTACTTGTGGCTGGGCCTCAACAAGCAACGCAAAGACTTCCTGAGTGGCTTGCCCTGTGGCTTCGAGGAGAAGAAGACCACCAGAGGCCAAAACCTGCCGTCCTTCCCTCCCATCAGCCTTCTTTACACCAGTAAGAGCTTCCCACCCTTGGTAGATCTGGGAATAGGACATTGAGAGGGCAGCAGGGAGCCTGCTTGGACACCACTTGGGATGAGGGTCTTCCAGTTGTCCCACTCTGCTCCCATGTGAGCTGGGATGTGGGAATTGTGTGCTCTCTTCCCTGCCCCGTTCTTAGCTGTCATTCTGCATATCAACAATAGGATGCTGAAGAAGTTCTTATCCACCCAGGACTCGTGTTTTGAATGTATTTCCTTCATTAGTGCTGGTCCTGAGCAAAAGGAGACTGCTGAGGTCTTGATCTCCAGGCTGAGCCCCACAGCTGGGCTCCAGTGTTGTGTACCAAGATGCCTCACTTCCATTCTCTGTTTCAGAGAAGCAAGTTTTCCAGCTACGAGCCCACATGTACCAGGCCAGGAGTTTATTTGCTGCTGACAGTAGTGGCCTTTCAGACCCCTTTGCCCGAGTCTTCTTCACCTCCCAGAGCCAATGCACTGAGGTAAACACCATCTCCTGACCTGGAGGGCTGGAGGTTTCTGGGTTTGGTGTGACACTTGTCCCATCAGCTCTACATCCTGCTCCCATGCCACAGGTCTCACGACTGCTAGTGAATCATGGGTGAGGTTAAACACGGTGTGGGAAAGTTGCTATGGCACTGGGGCTTGGATGTTTCCAAGCGCCCTGTTGGAAGTCCCTTCCCCAGCAGCACCTTCAGAACACACCCCCATTCATCAGCACACTGCCTTCCTGCATCCCTATGACTGCAATTTCACCTGCCTGGCTAGGAGGAACTGGAGCATGCTGAAAGCCCATTCCCATGGCTGCCTTTGGGACAGGAAAACTGAGACCAACATCCAGCCTGCTGCCCTTCTGTAGAGTCCCAGTCCTGGGCTGGAGCTGTAAATCCATCTTCCGTTCTTCTAGGTTCTCAATGAGACCCTGTGCCCAACCTGGGACCAGCTGCTGGTTTTTGACAATGTGGAGCTGTACGGAGAAGCCCATGAGATGCGGGACGACCCTCCTATAATTGTCATTGAGATCTATGACCAGGACACAGTGGTAAGATGAATCCTGGAAGAGAAAAATGTCTATCCTGCAGGCCAGGAAGACAGTGCAGTAGGCACAGTGATGATGTGTTAACAGTTGAACTTGATGATCTTAGTGGTCTTTTCCAACCCAAATGATTTCGTGAGGGTACAAGAAGTGTGTTTTCTCCTGACCCTTGGAAGAAGAAGACACCCCCACATTTCCAAGAGCATGAACTAGGAGCCACTGCTACTCATCTCTTAGACAAAACTGAATGATACCTTATTTTTGGAGAGTGAAGCAAGAGTTTTTGTGATGTGGTAATTGAGGAGACATTACCTTAGTCTTTTCCTTCAAAGTAGCTGTTCAATCATGGCCTCCCTGCTGTTCCAGCCCTCGGCCATTTCCTTTACCTTGAAGATGTTTATGACTTAGAATGTGCCTTCAGACAGGAAGCCAAAGCTGGCACTACTCTTTGATGCCTCAAAAATGCAAAGAGGAAAGCTGAGATATATTGTGCTGGGCCAGCAAACTCATGTACTCTTTCCCTCTCTAGGGCAAAGCTGACTTCATGGGCCGCACCTTTGCCAAACCAGTGGTGAAAATGTCAGATGAGCAGTACTGCCCACCACGCTTCCCCCCACAGCTGGAATACTACCAGATCTACCGGGGCAACTCTACAGCAGGAGACCTTCTGGCTGCCTTCGAGCTGCTCCAGGTGCCAGCCAGCACAGACTGAGGGAGGGGAAGTTGTGAGGGAGTGGGAATTAATCCATGCTTATGCAAATAGTGTGTATTTTGTACATCCTCGAAAATCCAGAAGGGCATAGCACAGCTACTGTGCCAGCAAGAGCTCCTGTGCAGTTATGCTGGTCAAGATGGTGTACAGCAAGTCCTAGCTTCCTTCTGGACAGGACACCCTATTGAAGTCTTATGTTAGCCCAAATTCTATACAGCATCACTGCAAGACGTCAGTAGACATCTTGGTGCTCTCCAAGATGCCAGGTTGAACATTTCAGAGCTACATGCCCCCTCCATCCCAGGTCTCACTTTTATTTCAAAGGGGACTTTATTTTGCATGTCTGCCTGCCCTGTCCTCAGATGCCCTGTGATAATGGCAAGATCAGGGCAGCCTTGCAGATTGCTGTTGATCTAGAGTCCTACCATCCAGGTGCTTTTCCTGTTTGTCCATCCAAGCACCTTGCTCAAAGGCTTGTCCAAGTCTTTTGTTTTCCCAGCTTCCCCTTTCACACCTTGCCACAACCCATTCCTTCTGCCTAGTACGTTATGCCCCAGGTGTTCTGGGCTCTTCTCTGTATACAAAATAAAGCAAGAGGATGCATGCTTACTGCACATCCATTTCATTTTCATTCTTTCTTGGAGCTTCCCAGAGAAGATGTGACTGTTACATTATTAAAAGTTTTCAAAGCTGGGTTGAGCAATCTGCGAAAGACGTCCCTGCCCATGGCAGGGGGTTGAACTAGATGGTGTTTAAGGGTCCCTTTGAACCCCAAACGTTATATGATTCTACAACACAAAGTTCCTAATCCATACTGCATTTCTTCCAGATTGGTTCTGGGGGCAAGTCAGACCTGCCCCCAATTGATGGCCCCACAGACGTAGACCGAGGCCCCATCCTGCCGGTGCCACTGGGGATTCGGCCGGTGCTGAGTAAATACAGAGTGGAGGTAATTGCATTGGAGTGCCAGATCTTAATGTTCAGCAGCGAGGTGGGCTGCGTGCATCTCACAAACTTGATCTTCTTGTGTTCAGTGAGGTCCCAAAGCAGAAAAGAAACTGCTGAGAGCAGCAGAGATCTTGGGTTATTCTGGATCAGCTGTGGGTTGGATTATGTGGGGTGTCAGACTGTGCTTCAGCCCCGGGCCATGCAGAGAAGAAGAAGAATGCTCAGGGATCCACCAGTCCCCAAGCAATGGCATTTGTTTCCCTGCTCCTCCATATTGGCTTCTTTATACCAACTCCTATGGCCCCAGCTGGACTCCATCCAAGGGCAGCCCTTCTCACACATGCTTTCTCCTCCTCCTAGATCTTGTTCTGGGGACTCAGGGACCTGAAGAGAGTGAACCTGGCCCAGGTGGACCGACCCCGTGTGGACATTGAGTGTGCTGGGAAGGGGGTCCAGTCAGCCCTCATCCAGAACTACAAGAAAAACCCAAACTTCAGCACTTTGGTCAAGTGGTTTGAAGTGGTGAGTGCTTCTCTTCTCCATGGGCCCTCAGCTGCCCCAGACTTTCTGAAGCCCGAAATGATGGCTCCTAGCCCCTCACTTCAAGATTCCCTGCAGCAATAAAGGATTTGATCTCCAACCCAGTTGGTGGTGGCCCTTCTCTGAGCGCTCCCAAGGCCTGCTTTGCTGAGCTGCTCTACACCTCTTCCTCTCCTATCTCTGCTTTAGTTCCTGCTGGTCTTTCCAACCACCTACATCAAAGCCCCACAGCCCACATCCATCCCTTGCTAACTGGCACACCTTTGCATCCCAGGACCTCCCAGAGAATGAGCTGCTCCACCCGCCCCTGAACATCCGAGTGGTGGACTGCCGGGCTTTTGGGCGCTACACCTTGGTGGGCTCCCATACTGTCAGCTCCCTCCGAAAGTTCATCTACCGCCCACCAGATAAGAAAGCCCAGCACTGGAATATGACAGGTACCAGCCTTGGGCCGTGGGGACACAGCTTGTGGGGTGTTTGTGGAGTACTGCAGGCAACTGAGGGGCATGGGCAAAGAGGAGATGGGATGGCTTCTGTTCTAAGACAAAACTGCTTCATCCCTAACATCTACAATAAGGGCAGTGAGGCACTGGCACAGGTTGCCCAGAGGTGGTGGTGCCCCATCCCTGCAGACACCCAAGGTCAGGCTGGATGGGGCTCTGAGCATCTGATGGAGCTGTGGGTGTCCCTGTTCATTGAAGGAGTGTGGGACCACGTGGCCTTTAAAGGTTTCTTCCAACTCAAACCATTCCGTAGTTCTGCAATCTCTGTATCTTCATGACTCCACACTCCATATGTTCCCCAAGACTCAAGATGAGTGTGCTATGCTCTCTGCTGCTGCTGCTGCTATTTGGACCTCTACTTGCATCTCTCTGTGCTGGTATTTTCAGAGCAATCCCTTTCCATATCTCTTCTCTAGAAAATGGGGCAGATATTAAAAACAGACCTTTCTCATCATCTGCTTTCCTTTGTTACAGCACCATCCTTTAACCATGCTATAAGGGTCTGTACTCATTCCCCCCGCCCCTCTCCTCTGAGCAAGGTGACCTTACATCACTCCTGCATGAATATTGCAATATCTTACCTGAGCTCTCAGTTTCTTTTCTACTCTCTCCTTCTCTCTTGTTCTCTCTTTCTCTGTCCTCTGTCCAGCTAAACAGCTCAAAGGCTATATGGCAATGGCCAATGGGGCCCCTCGCTCTCACCCCACAGGGGAGATCATTGTCAACATGGAACCTGAGGTTCCTATCAAGAAGATGGAGACCATGGTGAAGCTAGAAGCTGTGAGTATCTGTGTGTCAGAGCTATGCTAACATTGCTTTCTTCGCTGAACTGCCCATCTCTGAGGGATTTCACCCAAAGGAGGGCTGCTTTATCCTGTGCAATTACAGGGCTGGGTTGATGCTTGGAGTTGAAGGGTCTTGGGTCAATACCAGTCCTACAAATCAACCTCTTTCTGTTCTGGCTAGACTCAACTGTTTCTTGCTGTCCAGAGAAGGGCAATTCTGGGCTAAGCAAATTAGACAGCTTCATGTTTTCCTTCAAAAATGATCAAATGGAAATGAGGACCTCCCTTCCTAAGCAAGAAAAGCTAAAAGAGAGCAGAGTCTTTGTTGCATGAAATGGTGGTTCTCCTTGGAACCCAAGAGAGGTGTCTCCAAGGCAGAAATGGGTTTGGTGTGTCACAGCAGCATCTCCCATGTACACAGAGCTTTCCCAGCCAGGGCTCTGTGCAAGGCTTGTGTTTCCTTACACCATGGGGAGTGGTCTGTGACTTTTCCAGCCTGCCATGCATGTATGTGCCTATGTGTATGCAAACTCAGGTGAGACTGCACTGTTAACCTGCTCTTCCTCTCTGTTCCCTTCCACCCTGTGTGGCAGAACTCTGATGCGGTGGTGAAGGTGGATGTGGTAAGTGATGGCTCTGCTCATCATCCCTGCTCCCAACCTCTACACCCCATCCTACCCTTCTGAGCAGCTTTCAATGGACCATGCATCCTCAACATCCCTAAAATAAGTGGGGACTAGTGCCATTTTGTCCCAGGGAAGAGATGGAGTAGTGTTGCCCGTTAAATAACTCTGGCCTGGTCCCCGCAGACTGGGAAGCATTTCTGAACCAGCACTTCCCAGCATGGCTGTGCCAGGAGGAGCAGGGCAGACAACTCCCCGGGAAGGAGGTGCTGGTTACTGCCATGACAACCAGGTACCAGAACCCAGAGGGGGTTGTGGTGCCTCCAGGAGGATACAGGGTACTTCCTAGGCAGAGGGAGGATCGCTGCCACATACAGTGCTGTAGCATGAGAAATGCATGAATGAAATGGACGACGGATAGGAAGAGATGTCTCAGGATGCTGGCACAGGATTGCTGGAGCCTTGGGCACCTCACTTTGCTGCTCAGTGCCTGTGTCTCTGTCTTTAAAAGGGGGAAAGTGCTAAAGAGGCCATGCAGCCAGGAGGGCACTGTCTGGTCAGGTGCTTTCCCCACCACCTTTCCACTATAAGATGTGTTTGATTTTCACCTGAATCCTCTTCTCTGCTTTTGCTACCCTTTTCCTCCTCAGTCTGAAGAAGAGAAGGAGAAAAAGAAAAAGAAGAAGAAAGGAGGAGGAGGAGGAGGAGGAGGAGGAGGAGGAGGAGGAGAAGAGATAGAAGAGGAGGAGCCAGATGAGAGCATGCTGGACTGGTGGTCCAAGTATTTTGCTTCAATTGAGACCATGAAAGAGGTGGGTGCTGAACAAAGGAGCGGGGGCATGTAGGCTGGGATAGGAGAATGCATTACCTCCTGTAAGCAAGGCCTCAGCTCTCTCCAGCTGTTTCCAAAGGCTGTGGTGCTTTCCTCGCTTGCCTGTTGGTGAGGCATTCACTTGAAGAGCTGAGCAGGATTCAGCTTCCTTGCATGCATTTGGTATGCACATGGTGTTGGGTTTGCAGGCAAACACAACTGATAACAGTATCACTGCTCAAGGCTGCACCAAGCACCTTTGTGGCCAGACCTTAGCTCGCTGCTTGGATGGGAAAAAAGCTGTGACCCTGAGTCAGGCATTTCCAGTGAGCACAGAGCCCCTCAATACAGTCACCCACTCCCTGCTTGCTTCATTTCTCCCCCAGCAACTCCGGCAGCAGGAAGCAGCTGCAGCAGAAGCAGAGGAGAAAGAAGAGATGGAGATTGCAGAGGGTAAGCAGCTTGCAAGCAAGAGAGGGAGTGGAGCTGCAAAGGGGAGGACCAGGGCTTGAGCACCCTGCTGGATCATACAAATGGCCACAAGGGTGACCTCATCCATTTGCAGCCTGGAGGCTCCTTGCAAGGAACCATCAGCAGGGCTGGAACAGGTTTCCCTGAAGGACTCTCACCCATCCTTTCTGTATGTCCCACATTCATATGACAACAGGCCATTGTCTTGCTTAGGCAATGCAAAATGTATTAGCTGAGAGAAATATAGAGCCTGGTTCCATTATGAAGGCCAGCCTTCATATCATAAGAAAGATGAAGTTTTGCCAAACTTAGAGTAGCTTCTTCATTGGGTTTGCTATCATGGCAGGGATGCTGGGGGATGTCTTGCATCCCACATCCTTGTTCTGTCTTCTGAGCAGGACCCATTTCCCCTTGGCGCTCCCATTCTTTCCTCCATTCCTCTTCCATACTATGTCCTTATTGTTTTTTGTCTGTCCTCATCTGCACTGCCCAGCAATCATGAAAGCTGGCAGATTGAGGCAGTGAGGGATGGGGATTGTAGATGGGTGGGAGAAGAGCACAACGTTGCTCAGCTCAGACTTCTTTCCAACAGCTTTTCCTTGTGTAACTGGTGCCACCAGCTGGTGACTGATCTGAATAGAGACCAAGCTGGCCATGGGCATCACCCTCTGTAAGGGCAGCAGCCTGTGCCTTGGTGCTGAGCATCAAGCACTGTCACCTTTGCAATACCTAGGCTGGGCTTTTCTTCTCCAGGCTGCACATGACAGGAAAACTCTTCAGTGGGAGGAAGAAAAGGAGATGCTGTTGGTAGGATCAGGTCTTATTACTGCTATGGAGGCTAGGTAGAAGCTAGAATGCTCTCGGTCATCTAAATAATTTATGTTCTGGAAGCTCCTTGCATGGAAGCTACTAGGCTCCTGGAAATGCTGTGATAAAGGCAGAGATGGACAGAGAACAAGGAAAGAGAGGAGAGGGCCTGAAGAATTACTCCAGGGCTGGAATGGGAGCTGCAGGCAGTCACATCTGTCAGCTTTCATGATCCTTCCATTTTAAAGACCTTGATCAAGTCTCCCTTCCCTGTCTCCCCCACCCTTCCTCACCTTCATTTCCATCTCCTCCTTCCCCGCCGCTTCCCCTTGGACCCAGAAATCAAACTTGATGACTCTCCCATGAAAGGCTTCAAGGGCCAGACAAAGAACAAGGAGAAGTCCAAGGCACCCAAAGATGACAAGAAAAAGAAGCAGCAGTCAGCTCCTGAGCTCCCCGAGAAGAAGAACAAGCAGAAGATTGATGAACTGAAGGTGCGTGTGCCGACTCACAAGAAGGAGGCCCTGCAGTTTGGTTTGGCTCCTGCTAGAGGGAAGGGCTTTCCAGCCCTGGCCAGCCCAATTGAGATTCAGCAGGGATGGGCTCTGTTTGATGGTACATGGTGTTTACTAGGATTGATGTAGCCTGCGAATCTGGGGCTCAGAACCTGAGTCTTTCACAGTTTGGGAACAGCTGCTCTCATCTATTCAGCTGAACATCCCTCTTGTACACAGTCAGTCTGGGGAGGCACTTATATCAAGGTCCAAAGCAAAGATCCCTTCTCTTCCTAGAGAATTTGACACTGGGAGCTTTGTTCCATCTTAGTTGCACTGGCAGTCACCATATTTTTTCCTCAGTGTTTTTTTGTTGTTGCTGTTTTTACCTGATTCCCCTCCTTTCTGTCCTCCAGGTCTTCAACAAAGAGCTGGAAGCAGAGTTTGATAACTTTGAGGACTGGCTGCACACCTTCAACCTGCTCCGTGGGAAGATTGGGGACAATGATGACAATGCAACAGAAGAAGAGCGGATAGTGGGAAGGTTCAAAGTGAGTTTGGTGGTTGAGTTGGCCCAGGACAGGGACAGTCCTTGCCTATAGACTTCTGTGCTGAAGGTGCTTCAGTGGGAAGGGATTGGATGCAATAGAAATCAAATTGCATTGACCCAACCACAAATCCTTGCAGGGATGGAAAGCCTCTATGGATAGTTCCAGGCTTCAGTAGCTCATCTACAGAGAGAATGGTCTGTAGGCAAACAGATGCTTGATAGTTCTTACAGAAGGCTTCTCCTCTTCGAAGTCTGCTGTGGAAATAAGTCCTGCCCTTGGTTTTCTCTGTGAACCATTTCTCCCCAGGAATACTCACCTAGACTCACTGCCATGGTGCACTATTGCCAGTACCCAGGCAATGCAGGAGCGCATCTATCAGCTGTAAGATTCTTGGAAAGTGAGGCTGCTTTTGGAGGGTGTGATCCTGGCCAGATTAAGTCTATTAAAGCCAAATTTGCCCTTTGCTTGTGTTAAGTGATATAAAAAGCATGGCTGCCACCTCCAACTACAGTGGCCAGGAGCATTCCTGCCCAAACCCAAGAGCCCAGCCTGGTGTCTAGGACTTAGGATCTCTGCCCCAGGCTGTTGTCCTTCTGCCAGTTTTACCCTTGGAAATCCCTGTACATAAGCACCTTGCTAATCTGATTCCTCTGCAAGCCTCCTTCCCTTTGTCCAATTTCTTTGCTCGTGATAACAAACCCTGAAAGTGATGTTTGAGGGGTGAAGAAAGCTTCCAGATATGCTACAGCACATGGGTAGAGGCAAGGCTGAGCCCAAGGTGATCTGGGATGGGCCTGCTCACCCTGCACAGCCAGCTTCTAATCAGGTTGTGCACTCCCTCCCACCAGGGCTCCATGTGTGTCTACAAAGTGCCTCTCCCTGATGATATTACCAAGGAGGCAGGATACGACCCCACCTTTGGCATGTTCCAGGGGATTCCCAGCAATGACCCCATCAACGTGCTGGTCCGAGTCTATATTGTGAGGGTGAGTACAATAGCATGGTGTGGCAAGGTATGATCCTGCACTCCCTTCCACACTGCACACCCCAGAGCTGGTCCTAAATCTGCAGGGACATTGAGTTTTAGCTCTCAGGGTCTGGACTAGAAGGTGCTGGTTCCTTATATCCCCATCATGCTTTAGTACAGAGCACATGCAGAGCACAGTGGGAGCTGGCGGGATCTAGCAGACCTGGCAGAAGGGGGTGGCACCTTCTTCAGCATATCCTGAATTATTATCAGCCTGGTGCAGCTAATGGGCAATACGTCCTGACATATACAGAGTGTGCCCTGGGAAACTCTGACCCCCAAACTAGTCACCTTGTGTTTGCAAGAGCAGGAGTGAGACACATCAGCGAGGCACTAGCCCTGCTTAGAAGCACACAGGCTGACCCTTTTTACCACTTTGCCCCTGATGTTTTACAAATACAACTTTGGGTGATGTTTTCCACTAGCCTGGTTCTCCATCCAGGGCAGCATCGCTGTGACCAGTGGTGAGGAGGAGTCTCCAATCCATCATCACCAACTGATGGTTGTGACAGTAGATACCAGCCTGCCCAGTACCACTGCTAACTGGGACTGGCTTCATCACTAGATATGACCTGGCATGGGAAACTGCTGATGTGTGCAATGATAGAGACTGGGACTGGAGAGTTTGAAATCACCCTTAATACAAAGGTGATTTGTGAGAAAAATTCCCTTTGTGAGGTGAATCCCTACAAGCTCTGGACCCCAGTGTAGTCAGTGGAGAGAACAGCTGGAGGAGGAAGTCTTCCTGACCTACTAGTTAAGTCTTGCTCTAAAGAGAGACAGCAAAGGAGGTTCTGTTTACATATTTCTGAGGGGACACAGCCAACTATGCCTGGCTAGGCCAACCCAACTTCTCCCCAGGTGGAGACAGGGGTTAACATGCAGCAGGACTTCTCACCAGCTTAAGCCAAGTGACTCTGTTTAGGGGACAAAAGAGTTTTGCCATCTGGCTTTGGCCACGTAGAGCCACCTGGTCTCACAGATCAGGACAGAAACATTGCTGAATTGTTCACTAGCATGGATGGGGCTGACCTAACATTTCTCCATTCCAGGCCACAGACCTCCACCCAGCTGACATCAATGGGAAAGCTGACCCTTATATTGCCATCAAGCTGGGGAAGACAGACATCAAAGACAAGGAGAACTATATCTCCAAGCAGCTGAACCCTGTCTTTGGAAAGTGAGTTGCCCAAGCTCTGTACACCTGTTCACACCCAGAAGGGGTTAGCTAAGCTTGTCATCCATTCACTTGCACCCTAGTCATCCCACAGCTGCTTAGCGTTCAGAGGTTGGGACTCATCACACAGAACTTTCCTTACGAGTATGCAGGCATGCTCCTTTAAGCCCATCTCTTCTTTAGCAGCAGTGTGGTCAACATGGATGTTTAGGAGATGTCCACATCCGACCATGACAAAGTATCTGCTTTAGGAGGTCTGAAATCCTGTGAGAGTATTGCCTGGCTTGCCAGTGACCCACCAACTTAGTTTCAGGGCTGTTGAGTCAACCAAGTCAAGCAGTCATCATGTGCTACCTTCTTTCTAGGGCCGCTGGATCCAAAACAGCTCATGCAGAGATACAGCTACAATGCATATATTGAACACATTGTAGTGACAAAAGCAAATTAAACACCGACAACAGACTGAAGTAGACTCAACTTGCCCTTGATCTTGAGCAGCAGCCAAGTGTTCCAACTCATTCTCTTTCTCTTCATCTGCTTTCCCCTGGCCTAGGTCCTTTGACATTGAGGCCACCTTCCCCATGGAGTCCATGCTGACAGTGGCAGTGTACGACTGGGACTTGGTGGGGACAGATGACCTCATTGGGGAGACCAAGATTGACCTGGAGAACCGCTACTACAGCAAGCACCGAGCTACATGTGGGGTGTCACAGACTTACTCCATGTACGAACAAAGCTTTCTCTGCCCAGTCTCCTGCCTGGACCCATGCCTGTCTCATCTTCCACACCAAGCCTAGATCTCCTGCAGGAATCTCCCTCTTTCATTGCCTTCTGATGGGGAAGTCTGTGCTGTACTTTTTCTCTTAACAGGGGTTATAGGACCAGAACAGGAGTGCAACAGCAGAGTGGGTTGTAAGCAGGAATCCAGGGCTGGGAGGGAGGGGTTGAGGCACTGATGGGGCTCAGTAGAAGAGTGAGACTAGAGCTGTAATAGCAGCAGGACCAAAGGAGCAAAGCATCAGAGGTCAAGCAGGGTGCACTGGGGATTTCAGGTCTGAGTCAGCACAGAGTAAAGGGACTGGGCTGAAAGGTGTTAGCAAAGTATAGAGCAGGGATGCAGTGGGACCTGTCTGCTCTGAGTTTTCACATTTGAAACCCCAGATCTTTACCCTGTGAGTGCTGAGTCCTTCCAGGCAGTAGCATTTACCTGGCTTGTAGAAGGAAACAACATATCTTCTTTCTCCTTGCTACTACTTCACTGACCTTGCCCTCCTGTTTGCAGACATGGGTATAACATCTGGCGTGACCCCATGAAGCCCTCCCAGATCCTATCCAAGCTGTGCAAAGAGGGCAAGGTGGATGGGCCACACTTCGGGCCAGGAGGAAGAGTGAAAGTTGCCAACAGGGTGTACACTGGTCCCACGGAGATTGAGGATGAAAATGGTACCTGCCCCACGGGATGAAGGTTGGAGGGGAGTGGGGGTCTGGGTGTCTCCTCATCGTCCAGGGTTGGAGACAGATCTACTGGCCCCAGTATGCTAATGCAATGTTGCAGTCCTTCTCCATCTACCGCTTTACATTGACCCTTCACTTTGCTGCCAGCTGGACAGTGTCTTGTGGACCACCTGGGTTTGTGGGATGCCGTTAGAATTGCTCATCGGTGTCCATGAGATCACCAAAGCTGCCTTTAGAACATTCTCCTGACGGTGTATGCTTGAGGAGCAATGAAGAGAGCCCACCTTGATCTTTCCAGGTTTTAGGAAGCTCTGTGTCCTTCATGTAACTGAATCCTCAAAGGTTGTGTCCCAGTGCATTCACATTCACAAGAAAGATGAAAGCAGGCCATGAAGCGTGCACAGGAGGAGCATGTGGTCAAAAGATACGGAGTTGGTTCAGCCTGAGTAAAAGCAGGCTGGATCTGGACCTCCTGCTAATGGTTAAGGTTACAGGAGAAAGAGAGGAGTTAGGAAGCGTTGGCTCAAGTGGACACTAGTGAATGGAGAGGAGTCATTAGCAGGCACTTCAGCTCCCTTGAAGCAGGGAGAAGCTGGAAGAGGAATCCAAGAAGAGTGTGTGTGTGTGTGCGTGTGTGTGCTGGTGCCAGGAAAATCTGGGGTCCTTCTTGAGCAGAGGAAGAGGGTTGTTTGCTCTCCTTGGTGTTTTTCCATCTAGATCTCCAAGCTCCTTTGCCCACGCAGGTCAGAAGAAGCAGACAGATGAACACTTGGCCCTGACCGTGCTGCGCCACTGGGAGGATGTCCCACGGGCAGGCTGCAAGCTGGTCCCTGAGCACGTGGAAACGCGCCCACTGCTGAACCCTGACAAGCCGGGCATTGAGCAGGTCCTCCTCCAGGCCCCCAGAGAACAGCACTTGGGCATCAACAGCCCTTAGCATTTGCCTGTTAACTCCACTAGACAGAATCTTCAGTGCCTCTCCCTGTCGAGGCTGTCCCTTTCATACCCTTTAGTATTTGAGTCCTCTGCTCCTCCATGCCCATGCATCTCAGCACCACACCATGCCATGAGGGTGGGCAAGGACTCCTGGCCAGACTGTACCCCATGTCTGGCATGGCCAGACTGATGCTGAAGGGCAGGAGGAGCTCAGGGGAATGCTGTGGTATGAGAAGCAAGGAGGGGCCAGGGAACTGACTGCACCTCTCCAACCTTGCAGGGTCGCCTGGAGATGTGGGTGGACATGTTCCCCATGGATATGCCAGCACCTGGCCCTGCCATTGATATTTCCCCCAGGAAACCAAAGAAGTAAGGAATGTCCCAATCAAATGACCAGTGGGAAAAACTATAGCTGGGGGCACAGTCTTGCTTCTTCCCACTATTTGTGTTTCTCCACAGCCCATCCCTCTGTCTGGGCAGTCCAGCTACACAGGCACTTCCAGACATCCTAAGAATGGAGGCACCAAGTTATGTCTTCCCCTTCCAGAGCTGCCCTTGAATATTCTGCCTGGCAGCTCCTGATTTTGCTGAGTCTGCCTAGACTAGGAAATTAGAACTGCCATCCCAGCCCCAGTAGTGGCAGCGTTAGGTTAGGGCATGACATTCCTGGTCGGTTTGGATGGGCTCTTTTCAGGAGGAGAGGGCTGCCAGTGAGACAGGGTTGGTCAACCTGAGCAGGAAAGAGCAGGCACTGTCATAATGGCCTCTCCTGCCTCCTTTGGAGAGAAGACACATTTCTTCCCTCTGCATCCTTCCTAGTCCTGCCTTACTCTATTGGACCATGTCCTTTTCCCACCCCAGAAGTGTGAAGCGGGGATCCCACTGTGAGTCTCTTGCATTCACATGCCCTGCAGATGAGGTCTTGGATGGAGAGAATTTCTCTGGATTCCAGAGGGTTGCTGTTGGGATCTCAAGATTGAGGCTGCAGGAAAGCCGAGGCCAAGGGCAATGTCCAGACACAGCACAGAGGAAAAGCAGAGGTTTAACTGGCAGCCCAGGACAGCTATGTCCAGCAGTGACCTGTAACCTGGTGCTGGAGCCCTGGCACAGGGAACAGAAAGCAGTGGGGGTTTCTCCCTGAGGATCTCCTGTGGGAGATGGAGAGGTCAGCTTGGCCTCGTCGAGTCTCGACTTGCTGATAATGAGGCCCTGGAAAGGAGACAGACGGTCTGAATAAACAGGGGTGTTTTGTATTTAGCCATAAGATAAACTCTCTGCTGATTTTGAAGACTGCTGGGCAACCTGCTGGGCAGCCCTGCTGGGGCAGGGCTCCAGCCCTAAGCATCCTGGGGACTGGGATTCTGTTATCGCCCTGCTGTGTCTGGAAGAGCTGACACAGCCTGTTTTAGTGATAAATCTACCCAGCTACCAAGCCATGCTGTCCCCTAGATCCTCTGGCCTGGGTTGTGCAGAAGCTTAGGAGAAGGAAAGTAAAGCTTCCCTTGCTGCTCCACTGACCCTCCTGAGTTGATCCCAGCTCTTACCCATCCCTGATCCCTTTCTTTGGATAAGATCCCCATGAGCAGATCCCTGTGTGCAGATCCCTGTGCTCTCCATGCCTGGACCCAATCTCCCATCCCCTTTGTTCCCTTCCTCCTGCCCCTTCCCCACCACTTCATCTCCTTGTCTCCCTTTCTCCTGCCAGATATGAGCTCAGAGTGATAGTGTGGAACACAGACGAGGTCATCCTGGAAGATGATGATTACTTCACTGGCGAGAAATCCAGTGACATTTTTGTCAGGGGGTAGGTACAGCATGGTCACTTCCTTTGCCTCAGCCCTGGGGGTGCTGGTGCTATGGGGAACGCAGGGTGGGTCTGGGGGTAGATGTGGGTGCGAGATTAGATAGCACCAACACTGTCTCCAGTGATGCAATGCCTTGCCAAGCTGGGCACCTCAGGTCCTGTCTGCAGAGATTGGGTCAGCAGAGTCCATCCCACCCTGAAGCAGAGCCTGCATCAGACCCTAAATCTTCCTGATGGGCTCGAATACATACACCCTGATACAGGGAACCCACAGCAACCAATACTGAGCTGCCTCTGCACAAACACCTAAAGTTGCTGGAGCTCAGACTACCCCATGGTGGAGTGAGAAGAACTCTACAGCCACCTCTGGGCTTGTCCACTCCAACTGTGTGGGATGGGGACACCCCTCCAGCTTGCTCTGCTCCAGATTCCCATGCAATGCTCCTTGCTCCTGTCCACCTCCAACATCCTCCTTCCTGGAGAAATACTCCCAACAGCCAGCTTGAATTTCTTGCACTCAAGCCCCTCTGTTCCCTCTAGGTCCCTCCCCTGGGGCTGCTGCAGTGATTCACAGAATCACAGAGTGACTCAAGCAGCCCCAGCTCATCACTTAAAGCTCTTAGGTTCTTCCAGTCTGTCCATGTCTTGCTGGCCTGAAGGCATCCTGGCTGAATATGCAGGATGGCCCCATGCCCTCTCCTCCCTTCTGGAGAATTCTATTCCTCTGGGCCTTGCAGGTGGCTGAAGGGTCAGCAGGAGGACAAGCAAGACACAGATGTTCATTACCACTCACTGACCGGTGAAGGCAACTTCAACTGGCGTTACATCTTCCCCTTTGACTACCTGATGGCAGAGGAGAAGATCGTCATCTCCAAGAAAGAATCCATGTTCTCCTGGGATGAGACCGAGTACAAAATCCCGGCTCGCCTCACCCTGCAGGTCTGGGATGCTGACCACTTCTCAGCAGATGATTTCCTTGGTAAGCGGGGATCTGTTGAGTCGGGACAGTGGGACAACCAGCGGGGTTCTATCTGGGGCTGGAGGAGCAGGGGGTGGTGTGGGTGAGGCAATACCTGGACAGGAACAGAGCTCAGAAGGGCAGCCCTGGTCCTCAAGCCCACTACATCTTACAGATCCCTTTGGATGTTGTTTGTAAATGTATACAGGATCAGAGCCCTTATCTTCTCTGCTGCTGTTCAAAGGCTGGTCCTGAAACAGACATCAGCTTTTTAGTTCCCAAAGAAGTTCAGAATAGTTTTCCAGGGAAGGAGATGATGGCCAAGCTCACCTCCAGCCAAGGATTTGCATTTTGGGGGTGCCAACATCTATGCTTCCTTGTCTCCTGCCAGGGGCCATTGAGTTGGACCTGAACCGCTTTCCACGGGGAGCCAAGACATCCAAGCAGTGCAGTCTGGAAATGGTGACAAACGAAGCAGAGCTGCCCATGGTCTCAATCTTCAAGCAAAAGAGGGTGAAGGGCTGGTGGCCATTTGTGGCCAGGGATGAGAATGACGAGCTGGAGATCACCGTAAGGATGGGGAGAAGGGGGTGATTTTCCACCCTGGGGACCACAGCCATTGCAGACCATCCCCATACTCCTCTCTGCTCCCTTAGGCCCTTCTATCACCATGGCTGTGGGCCAGGCAGGGAGCATAGCCTGGGGCACAACATCCTTCTCTCCTTTCAGGGGAAAGTCGAAGCTGAACTGCACCTCCTGACTGCAGAGGAAGCAGAGAAATCGCCCGCTGGGCTGGCTCGCAATGAGCCCGACCCACTGGAGAAACCCAAGTAAGAACAAAACCCAACTCCCCAGCAGATGCCTGGGCTCCTATGAGATGCTGCTGGGTGGTGCTCAGGGAGGGACCCATGCATGGGGAGGTGAAGAAGGGTCACACCTCAGGGATGAAAGTTATGTGCATGGCCCTTCTCCTTTAGTTCCCCACCACTGCCCACTATTCACTGCCTAGCTCCCTTCACACTTAGCTTCATCCCCTTTTTCTGACCTCCCAACTTCTCCTCTCTTGCCCTGACCAACAAGACACTAGCTCCTCATGGCTCCCCCACATCCCTGCCCTTGCTCTGTCTGCACATGTCCTGCTAATTCCCCTTACAAAGGTAACCCAGGGATGGACCCATGGTCTCCCTTTCCACTCTGTGGTTCTTTAGCTGTGCTGCCTGCCCTCTCCATGACTGTGGTGTTCATGATGGGTGTTTGCTTCCCCGGCAGCCGTCCAGACACGTCTTTCATCTGGTTCCTCAATCCTCTCAAGTCCATCAAATACCTCATCTGCACCCGCTACAAGTGGCTCATCATCAAAATCGTGCTGGCCCTGTTGCTCCTCATCATGGTGGCCCTCTTCCTCTACAGCATGCCAGGCTACATGGTCAAGAAGCTCCTGGGGGCATGAAGCATGGGAGCATCCAACCTCCAGCTCAGAATCACCGCCTGCCCCAGCCCCATGCCCTTCTCCTCCCACAGCCTCTTGGCAGCCTCAGGACATATTTCACTCCTGTTGGGCCTCCTCTTCTGCATTTATCTGTGCATTCCTGTCTTCACTCACAGAAATGGGGCTGGAGGAGCTCCTTCCGTGAGGCTGGGTATCATTCCCCTGGGCTGGCAGTGGTGCACAGCCAGCCCCGGCAGAACACCCAGGATGGGGCCTTGTGGCCTTCTGCCCTCTGGGGCAGCAGTTGGCATCCCCCAGAGAGCTCAGCACCCTGCTGCAGAGGTGAGGAGTGCAAGAGCTGAGCTGGAGCTGAGGCGCTGGAGTCATTGGAATGTTCCCCAAATGCTCCTTGAGGGGATATTGAGAAAGAGAGTCTGGGGGCTCTGCAAGGGGCTGACCCTGCTCTGCCCTCCCTGGGGTACTAGCAGAGGCAGAGAAGCATCCAGCAGCACAAACATCTTCCCAGGGCCACCTATCCAGCACTGGCACTGGCTGGACAGACCTGAGGCTCACAGGGAGCCACATCTTCTGGCACAGTGTGAGCTCCCTCCAGCCTTCTCTCTGGTGGGTTTGTACTCATCGAGAAGTTTGGGGGTATTTCTGACTGTGTAGAGTGGGGAAGGAGGGAGGGAAGGGCTCTCGTGTAAGTTCTCTGTAATATTCAGCTGTTGATGACCCACCATGCCCAGCTTCAAGTGTGCAAGATCCTCATTCAGTACTTAAGAAACACTCAGAGATGTTTTTAGGATATTTGTGTTTTATCCTGTCAAGTCTGGGCTCACCGCTGACCTGCTGCTTACAGCCATTCTTGTCTCTATACATTATCTCAACGATTCTCAAAACAGATACGTCTCACCCTGTGCAGTGCACGTGACCCCAGTGCACGTGGTGGTGGTGAGAGGGGCTGCTGCTGCTGCACACAATGGATGCAGTCTCTTCTATTCACCACATGCAACCTGCAGCCACAGGACAGCTGATAGTGCAGAATCCGCTGTCTCAATCTAGGAGGGAGAAAAGAAGTGGAGAGGGATCTTAGGGCTCCCTTTGGGTCCCCTTGAGCTGGAATTCCTAGGGCAGAAAGGACCATACTGGGAATAGTGAGCAGCCCAGTGGCCAGGGGCTCCAACACAGCGGCTCTGGGCAAAGGGGCTGTGGTGGGTGTGAGCACATGGCAGTGGACATCTCCTGAGCAACACTTGGATCAAGCCTGGCCCCTCAATAGCTCTTCCACCCTGTATAACACACACCTCTTTAGATTTTTTGCAATCCTCATCGACTTCCTCGTGTGCCTCTGCACAGTTTCCCTCCGGACTGTGCTTCTCCGTGTGCTCCTTTTCACAGCACTCTTCTGTATGCACACAAGAAGGTTTAGTGGGGCACAACTCCCTTCCAGTGGGATCCCTCTGGCCCAGGGTGCAGATGCCCAGAAGAGCCCAGGAGGGCTCCAATGCTGGAAGAGGGTGGGAAAGCTGGGGAGTGGGCTCCTTCCTTACCTGCAGCTTCACCCTCTGCAAGGACAGGGCAACTATCAGAGCTGATGACCAGAATTGTCTCCCAAAAGCATGGAAGCCCAGTATTTTCATGACCATTTGCAGCTGAACAATGAGGAATAACTTGAATAGGAGCCAGAACATCTTCAATAACAATTCAAGGATCCGGGCTCAGTGGTTGTCCTCTTGAACAGACCCATCCAAAACACAACACACAACACTTAATAACAAGGCTCCTCTTATGCTCATCACTCCCAAAGTAACACCGTCTCAACAGCACAGATCCCAGGACTGCACATCCCAGTGCTGGCCTCCCAGGCTGTGTTCCCCATGCCCATCCCAGTCCATTTGGCAGCATCAACCTGCACACCCAGCACTGCAAGGAGTCCCGGGGAGGCTGACAAACGCATGCAGACCCCAGGGGGATGAAAAGCTGGGGTAACATAGGGCACCCACTCCTCCCACATCCCTTCTCCTTCTCCCAGCTCAACTCCTCAGCTGCTTACTCTGCCATGCAGGCAAAGAGAGACCGGAGCATCCTGAAGCCCACTAAAATCAGGGCCACAACTGTGAATCACGGATCACAGAATATCCCCAAAACTGAAGGGAACACCAAGGAGCTGCAAGAAGATGGCACTGAGAACCTCGGCCTTGTCCTCAGTGACAACATTCCCCACCACGTCCAATAAACAGGAGATTCTCCGTGGCCTTCCTCTTGCTGTTAATAGATTTACAAAAACATCTCAGGGTTTCCTTCCCGAGCAACGTCCAGCCTTCCTGGACCCCTCTGCCCTTCAGGACCGACTGATCTCTGCTGGCACTGCCCGTAGCCTCACCCCTCACATGCGATCCCCCCGCATCACCCTTGGCTCTACTGCGCATGCGCAGCAACTCTGGCGGAAGGCGTTGGACGCACGCACGGACGTGCCGTTGCCTGGCGACGCAGTGCCGCAAAGCAACCAGACCGTCGCTACGCGCATGCGCCGCACCCTTGTTGCTAGGTGACAGCGCGACGCCTCAGCTGCGGCGCTGTGCCACTGCGCGTGCGCGGTAGGTGCGTTGCCAGGCAACGCGTTTTCCCATGAGCCGCGGAGCGGGCGAGGAGTCGGCGGGGCCGCGGTGGCGGATGCCGGGCCTGGACCATGAGACACAACCGGGCTCGGATCCGGCCGAGCCGGGCCCCGAGGAGCGGATCGCCGCTCGCCGCCGCCGCATCGCCGCCCGTCTCGATGCCCAGCGCCGGTGAGAAGCGGGGCAGCCATCCCGCGGCCTGGCCTTCTGCCTCACGGCAGTGCCCCGAGCCTTCTGCCCTCCCCTCCCGGCCCTTGCTGCCGTTGTCCGGCCCAGGCCTCTCTTCCTGAAGCGTGTCAGGTCTGCCTTCCTCCACACCCTCACAGGCCAGGCCTGTCCCCCATCCCCGCAGGCAGCCCCCAGCCAGCACCAAAGCAGTGCCTTCCCCCTGGAATCCACCATCCCGATGACCTCCTCTTCCCCGAGTGGGCCCAAGGATGGGTGCACACAGCCTCAGAGCAGTGCCAGTTCACCTCAAATTGATACCAGCTCCCTGACCCCGCCACTTCCACCTGTTGCACAAGCTTAGGGACCATCTGCCTGGAGCTGGCATCAGTTCTCACAGCATCCCCTGCCCCACACGAGCTGTGGGTCCAGGACCACGGAGGTTGGTCCACCATTTGCTGCCTCTTTTTTGCACTTCTGGGGGCACGGTGAGCCTGCTGAATCGTGCTGTCTGTGCTGGGATGGAGTCGCAAGCCTTGCAAGGTGATCTCTCAACATTAGGAAGATAGTGTGCAAAAGATTCTGTCCTCTTCCCTTTTCTGCCCAGGCAAGCCCTTGGAGAAATTGAGGAGCCAAAGGAGGAGGCTGAGGAGGAGGGAGAGGAGAGAAGCAGCCACAAGCAGGTGGAGGAGAGCCGGCAGGTATGACAGCAAGACAGGAAGATCCTCTTGGATCCCTAAACTATAGGCATTTGGCTTCATGCAGTGCTCAGTGACACCCAGCAGCCTTTATGAGAGAGGAAGCAGTGGCAGAAACTCTGTAGGACCAAGTGGGAGGGGATTCACAGGCCATATATTGAAGACAAGATTTCCCTGTAGTAAAATGCCCATGGATTGGAAGGATCTGGGATTGGAGCTGTCCTCCAGACTCAAATCTCACTGTCCAAATACAGAGGAAGCAAAACAGAACCGTGCACTGAGCATGGGCCAGTTCCTCTTAGTGCTGTTGACCTTTGGGGCTATGCAAGTGAAGGAGGACTCGTGGATGCACTGAGGTCTTTCCAGTGCTTGTTGAACCTTGCCATAGAATGAGAAGATGGAGTTTATGGATCTACACAGGTTTCTCAGTGTGGGGATAGGTTCTAGAGCCTTCACAGCATAATGAGAGCAGTTCCAGTATCCCTCTCTCCAGAGCTGAAGTCTACAGGTATGTGTACCACCTCCTTCACAGAAGCTGGCCAAGCTGCTCTTTGAAGGCACACGGATGGTGACAGATATCCAGGTAGCTGCTGACTTGAGGGAAACACAGAGGAGAGCAGAACAGGCACAGCTGAAGTTACAGAGGTAAGAGGCTGTGGTGTGGGTTTGCTCTGCTGGGAAGGAGTGAGGGATGATTGTGCAGATCTCTGAACACTTCCCTAGATGACTGCATTTACATGCAAAGCATCATCATTCTGATCATCCCCATACACTTAAAAGTTAGGATTGCACTGTAATTAATTTCCAAAGGAAAATTTAGGCACACGAGAGCTCCCAGGACCCACCTGCCACAGATAAATGTTTACAGAGTGTGGCATGCCAAGGCTGGTGACTTCCTCAGATGGTACTGCTGTACTCCAGGCACTCTGGTTACCTGTCTTCTCCAGACCCATCACGTCTTTGTCTCCAGCCTGGGAGAAATACAGCTGGTTCTCAGCTTCTGCCTAGAAGGCTGTACCACATACTTGTGGTCTCCTTGCTCATACAGCTGTCCTCACTTCTGACTGGCCAAGCAGCTCTCCTGAGGCTGAAGGTGACACTGTGATGGAGAACATGCCAACCAGTGCTTAGATGTGACTTGGTAAATGATCTGTTTCCAGAGGTTGCCCTCTGTTTTTAGCAGTGAGTGTAGTTATTAGCTATAGCATGAATACGTGCAGGGCCAGCCACACCAGGCTGTTGTGTATGAGGATTGGGAAAAATGTGAGGCTGTGCTAATGTGAGGAAGTGGATATATATGTCTTCATGGAGAGGGTGGTCAGATGCCCTCTCTACATGGTGATGTAGGGAGCTTCCTCCTTGGAGATACTCAGCACTTGCCTGAATGAGGCCTTGCACAGCCTGCTTTGCTCCTGAGGCTCTTCCAGCCTCAGTTATTCTCCAATTGCTCAGTGGCTGCCTTGGCTGATCTGTACTGCTTCACGAGAGGGATCTCCAAGGGACTGGCTGTTTCAGCCTTGCCTGCAGAGATCAGCTAAGAAACACCGGATCCTTTCTCTTAGTTGCCTTTGGAGGGCACTGTAGGAACAGTTTGTGGGAGGCTGGCTGGAGCAAGACATCAGTTCCTTGCTCAGAATTTTTTCTAGTGCTGCCCTGCCCTGGTATTATCTTCTTCTACTGCCCACAGGGTGGAGAAGCTGGAGAATGAAGCCAGGTCCAGTGCTGACAAGTTTGAGGAGATCACCTCGAAGTGGGCCTTGGCCAAAAAGATGACAGTCCCTCAGGAACTGTGGCAGCTGCTGAACCAACAGCAGCAGCTGTGCACGCAGCTTCTGGAGGAGAAGAACAAGCTCATTGGTGAACTGCAGCAGGTAGCGTGGGGACCATGCAGGGCTAACGAGGGAGGACTGAAGTTTTGAAGCTCTGGAGGATGCTGTTCTAAAGCAACAGCCATCCCTCTGGCTCTCCAAGGCCCCAGCACATGGCTGGGATGCATGCAGTGTCAGTTGGTCCAGGACAAATGTGCCAGGAATTGCAATACAAGTGATGAAGTGTTGACAGTGAGATCCAGTGCCTTAGTAGTGCTTGGTGTACAGGGACAGATGTACGGGGCACCAGTAGCAGTGTGTCAAACTGGCAGATCCCAGACTGTGCAGTAGTATAATATAAAGTGGTAGAGAAGGGGATTGTTTTCCTAGAGGGAAGCAAATCCTCCCCACAGCACATTCCTTAGCCCTCAGGAGCAGGAGTGCCCTGCCTGCAGGTGTGTCACCTCCCACTGCATCTTCTCACCAGCTGTGACCTTTGGTGGTGATCTGTCTCTCCTCCCGCTTTTCCTCCTAAATACCTCATGACCTTTTGTCCTTGCCACCTTTTCTCCTTTGGGAAAGACAGCATCTGGGTCCTACGTTCTCTGTTATCCCCTAGTAAAATATTCTCTCTGATTTCAGCATCTGCTGTCCTCCTCCAGGAACTGAAAAACAAAGATGAGCAATACGTGCAAACCATTAAAAAGCAGTCAGATGACATCCACCTGCTTTTGGAGAGAATGGAGGAGCAGATCAGGATGATGTTGAAAACTTACCGTCACAACGTCCATCAGGTTGAGGTAGCCAGTTCATTCAGTGAAGGGAGAGTTCAGGGAGAAAGAGTGCTGTTGTTCCCTTCTCCATATCTGTGGCCAGAAGTCCTCAGCCTCTTTCCACTGGCTGGGTTGACTATTGTCCAGAGCAGAGAGCTGATGTCTTGGTGAATGAAGCTCAAATCTGGCCAAGTAAGAGCACTGAATGATGCTGGGTGCTGAGGGACTGCTTTATACAATGCTGTGAATGACTTTGGTTCAGCACAAAGTAGTGGGGTAACATTTAAAAGCTATTGCTGCTTCATGCTGGTTATCTGTCTTGCTAAAAGCCAAGAAGGAGCCTTGTTGGTCATAAGTCTTACCTTCTGCAGAGCATGGAAAGTCATGGATCAAGCTTGTATGTGTTGTTGAGCGAGGGCTCAACATCAGACAATGATTTCCAGTGAATTTACAGAGCTGCCACCAAAAGCATCCCTTGTGGGTCTGGGTGGCTGACAGCAGTTCCAGTGGGCTCACAATGTCAGATCTCTGCCAGCAAGAGGCAACATCAGGCCTGTGTCTGTGTGGGTTCATCAGACAGGAGCAGCTGTCAGTCCTCTCCTGATGTGGACTAGAATGAGGCTGGCAAATTGAGGTGCCAACGTGATGGTAAATGGCTCTGTCTCCTTGGCAGAAAGCTTTTGAGCTCGAACGACGAGAGCTGCTGGACAACAACAGGAAGAAGTGGGAGGAGGCCATCCAAGCCCTCAACACAAAAGAGGTAAAGTCCCCATGAGATTTATAAACTCTGCCAGGACTGGTGCTGTTCTCCAGCACTGAGCTGCCTTGGAAGACAAGTGTGCATGATGGCAGCTGCTTGCTCAGGTGCATGGTGGGCAGATTTTTCAGCCTGCTCTGCCAGGAAATTATCCATGTATGACCTTGCTTAGTGCTGGTGAGGGAGCTGTGATCATGGGAGGAAGCTGTCACCACTGATGGATGATATTTTTCTTTTGCCCTTAGCTGGAATACCTGCATGCCCGTGTGAAGAAGGTGGAAGAGTTTGAGAAACAGCTGAATCAGCTGCGAGTCCAGTATGAGGAGGAGTATAACAGCATGAAGATTCATCTGGAGACTGATGTGCAGGTACAGAAAGGACTGGTGTGTGCCATGTGGCGTGACAGTTGAGCAGACCTCCCTGATTTGTTCAGTGCTCTGGAGGGCAGGTGGATGGTGTGAAAGCTGCATCTGGTATCTGATCACCTCAGCTCTTCAACATGCATGGTTCAGCTCCATGCCAACAGCATGATGGAGCTTTTTGTCTCTCCTCTCAGTGGGATCCACAGAACAGTATCAATGTGCCCTTGGCTTCTAAGTGGTCTGTAGCAGCTCTAGGATGTATGAAGCAACTGGGAATGTTGAGGGTTTTGCTTCTGAAGAGGTGATGCTTGATAGGAAAATC